CAATCCACAGCAGGCTCCAGGCTCTGAGCTGTCAGCACAGAGCCGACACGGGGCTCTAACTTATGAGCCAGCCGTGAGGTCATGACCTGAGCCGAAGTCAGACACTTAACCAACTGAACCACCCAGGTGCCCCTCTATCACCACCTTTTGATGGCAGTCCCATCCCCTGTCCCCAACAGATTGCACTTATCATACAAATCTAAGGATGTAGGGGAGGAAGACCAAGGTAAAGTCCGATTGTGTTTATCTGTGCAGACTGAGTAGGCAATCTCTGTTGGTGTATGCTCATAGCAAAGAGCACCAGGAATTCTTGACTTTGTGGTCTGTTCTTGTGTTTTAGGGTCTCTTAACCATCCCTGCAAGTTCTGGGCTCCAAATTTGTAACTAAGGCTGCTGACTCTACCTTGACCTTGTTCTGCCCCTGGCTGCAGCAGCCCTTGAGAGAATGTCTTTGTGGCTCTAGCATGAGACTTCAAGCAGTTGGCTCACTACTGGAAAAATAAAGGATACTGCCAGACTGACCTTCCTGTCTGTAGCAATGTTCTCCCCGTGCAAGAGGATGACCAGTTCTTCACGCTCCCAAATCCTTCTAATGTGGAAGCCAGACAAGGTTCAGAGTGGACCCCACAATGTGGAGAAGGAAACGCATGCTTTGAGACTCTTGCGTGACACTGAGACCTGTCGACAGAATTTTCGAAATTTCCCATATCCAGACATAGCTGGTCCTCGAAAGGCATTGAATCAACTCCGAGAGCTCTGCCTTAAATGGTTAAGACCTGAGATTCGCTCCAAGGAACAAATCTTGGAGCTGCTGGTGCTAGAGCAGTTCCTGACCATCCTGCCTGGGGAGGTTAGGACGTGGGTGAAGTCCCAGTACCCAGAGAGCAGTGAGGAAGTGGTGACTCTGGTGGAGGATTTGACTCAGATTCTAGAAGAGGAAGGTGAGGATTGTAGGGCAGAGAGGGGAAGAGTCCTGGGTGGTTAGAGAAGACTAACCGGGACTGTCACAGAGCAGCCCTTCAAAGAAACCGGCGAGAGCAGAGCTCAGTGAGTGAGAACACACTTGAATGTGCGCCCCGTCCTGCCTGATGTGCCCCTGCCAGACTGCTGGAGACCACACACACATATTACCCAAAGGCTTAAACCAAATTACCCCTGTGGGAGCCCTCAGGAATTTCACCTGCAGAGGTTTGAACCATTCTGCAAAGAAACCATTTGCTTTTGTGAATTAGGTTTTACAGTAACATGCTTGCAGAAAGGTAGAAAAGGGTCCAGAAAACATTTCCTTGTTCAGACACAACACACAAAATTTACATCACATGACGCTTTAGTAGAAAATTGTGAATTTAATACGTATCCTTAGCCGTCCCAGAACAGACTTGTTTTTGAAGCCTGGTTTGACATCTTAGGACAAATCATCGGCCCTTCCCTCTGCTTCTTTGAAGTGTGGGTGCTGGTTTTGGTTTCTTTCTCACTTCTCACTGTAGGAAAGTGTAGGCATCTATCTGGTGAAGAATTTTGTAGGCTGTTCAAATAGGACTAATCTCCATCACGGTCTCCCTTCTTCCCTAGCTACTCCTCAGCATTCTGCCCTTCCCCAAGAGACCCCAGAGGAAGACCCCAAAGGAAGACCTGCTTTCCAGGCAGGATGGTTAAATGACTTGGTGACCAAAGTAAGTGTTGGTTTCTTCTATGATTTTAAAATGGCTTATTAAGAGGTGTATGTATGAGGACGTTTTCTGTCCTGGCCCTGTAACTTCTTTGTCCCCTAAAGCCCAATCTAGGACTTAAACATCAGTTTCTCTCTTTAAATCCACCCTGTTTGTTAAGGTAAGTGACTGCCCTGTGTAGGAAATAAGCTCCCCAGAGCCTTCCCCAGATATGCCCTTCCTCACTTTTTGACTGTAAGGCAGCAACCATAGAGGTTAAGGGATTGACCTCCACAGCCAGATGATCAGATTTAGTTCGTGGTTCTGAACCTATGATTTGGAGCAAGATACTTGACCACACTTGGCCTGAATTATTAAACTCTAATAAATAGAATTTACCTGTTAGATTGGGAGGATTAACTATTATGCGACTTGTGGTTAGCCTGGACTACAGTAAGCCATCAATAAGCAGTGGTTGCTAATGTTATTTTTCTCATTAACAAGTAATTAAAGGCCCTGTGTTTTGTGGTGTAATGTTGATCGTAAGTCTGTGTTACGTCAGGCCATCTTAAGAGAAAGTTTTACTGTAAAAATACACACCTGACACTGGCAGCCTGGAGCCTGCTTCAGATTCCATGTCTCCCTCTCTCTCTACCTCTCCTTTGCTCATGCTGTCTCTCTCTCTCTCTCTCTCTCTCTCTCTCTCTCTCTCTCCAAAATAAATGTTTAAACATCACTTTTGTACATACACATTAAAATCAGGCAGATGTTAAGATGAAATAAAAGATTCCATGCACAGGGGCGCCTGGGTGTCTCAGTCAGTTAAGCGTCAACTCTTGGTCTCAGCTCAGGTCATGATCTCATGGCTCATATGTTCGAGCCCTGGGCTCTATGCTGCTAGCATGGAGCCTGCTTGGGATTCTCTCTCTCCCTCTCTCTGCTCCTCCCCTTCTCTCTCTCTCTCTCTCTCTCTCTCTCTCTCTCTCTCTCTCTCTCTCTCTCTCTCACTCACTCAAAATAAACTTAAAAGCAAAAAAAGATTCCCCACCCCCAAAATTTAAGATCTCTAGGACTAAACATAATATAAATTTTATAGTACATCCATATCGTGTATCATTCTGTAAGACATGAAAGAAGCTTTAAAAACTATAAATCGTCTGTTCTCCCGAAATTATAAATTGAAAATGTAATTTGAAAACCCAATATAATTTTTTTAAGAAACGTAAAGTTCATTTGAAAGACATGGAGAAGTAATCAGTTTTGTGTAACAAAAGGAAGAAAAGAGCCAAGAGGAATACTAACCTTGCCAGATTGAGAAATGTATCTAAAAGTATAACAGTTCAACAGTGTGAGTTTGGTCCCAGTTTTAAAGATTTTTAGATGTTTTTTAATGTTTATTTATTTATTTTGAGAGAGAGGGTGGGTGGGCAGAGAGAGAGAATCCCAGGCTATCTGCACAGAGCCCAAGGCAGGGCTCCAACTCACCAACCAGGAGATCATGACCTGAGCCAAAATCAAGAGTCTGACGCTTAACCGACTGAGCCACCCAGGCGCCCCAATAACACACTGAATTCTTGAGGCAAAGCTCAAAAAAGCACAACCATTCAAGGGTGTCATCTTTGTAAAGCCCTTTCTTTAAGATGCAGTCACCAACGCATGCGCCAGTGCCAGCCGAATACGTGATGATAAATGTTGCTTTATTTTCAGACTCCCCTGTAGGACCATTCAGGTGTTCTCATCCATAACTCGGGTGAGGGTGTTAACTAGACCTTCAGGGTCTTACTGAAGCTCAAGATTCTGCGAGTCCCCTCACCACACACACACTTGGCATTTTCACTGTCCTCATTCTACGAGTTCTTGAACCAGGTTATATTTGATGTTTTAGGAATCAATGACATTCAAAGATGTGGCTGTGGATATCACCCAGGAGGACTGGGAGATCATGCGTCCTGTACAGAAGGAATTGTACAAGACTGTGACATTACAGAACTACTGGAACATGGTTTCTCTGGGTAAGCATCATCTACGCCCGCTCCTGCCAGCATACCCTCCAAGTCTCCTTTCCTCTCTTGTTAAAAATGGGTTGGTCTCTAAAGTATTTTGCCAAGAATGGGGCCTAGAGGTGAGCGTGCTCATCCCGTTCAGGCACAGAAATGTTTTCCCTTTTCCCAAATAAAAGGTTTCTAAGTGAAGGATCATTGAAAACTGTGATGCCCGGCTTCCCTGGGCTTCCACACAGCACTGCGCCTTCCCCATTTCCTACCTTTCCTGTGATCTCCTCCCGCCATGATCTCTATGCACATATCCTCTTGGGTGGCAGGAAATGTTCATTTTAGCTCTGGAAAGGACAGTGATCTAATTCTCCCACTACATCCTGTCCGTGAACCATTGTTTTCCCGTAGAAGTCTGTCCTCACAAATAAGTAGAAGTCAGGTAATAAAATTCGAACAACCGTTTATCTCCGGGATAAAACTCCTTCTGTTTCCTCATGAACAGGACTGACCGTGTACCGACCAACTGTGATTCCCATGTTGGAAGAACCATGGCTGGTGATAAAAGAAATCTTAGAAGGCCCTAGTCCAGGTGAGAGCACAGCTGGCGTGGGATTGTTTGTCCTTCAGAGCCTGACTGCAGTGAGATCTGTTTTTTAAGTATGGCCAAGGCATCCCCCCAAAGACATCCCAGCCTGTCAAGAGCACTGAACTGTTCGGCGTTGCTTCCTGACAGATGCCATTTTCAGGAAGAGACGCAGTTTATTTATTTTGAGAGAGACAACACAAGCAGGACAGGAGCAGAGGGAGAGAGAGAGAATCCCAAGTAGGCTCCGCACTGTCAGTGCAGAGCCCGGTGTGGGGCCTGATCCTACGAACCACAAGATCATGATCTGAGCCTAAATCCAGAGTTGCACGCTCAACAGATGGAGCCACCCAGGCACCCCTCCTGCCCTCCTTTTTAAGCATGCATGAATATCCCTAAGATTTGAAGTTTCAAACCTTCTTTTTAAATTTCTTTTATTCTGTTTCACCAGCAAACCCCTGTAGCCTCCTGCCTCCACTTTCCTAACTTACTCTATTTTCTAATTTAAAAATGTATAAATTCAGAAGATTCAAAAACGTTCTTTCGTTGTATAGCACGTTCACCCAGTTCCTGCTTCTCCCAGCACCCAAGAACTGGTGCTTGTTTCTAGTTGTTTCTGTTAAGGTGTTTTGTTTGCGTATCAAGTCAATATAAAAAGGGCTTCTTCCTAGGGTGCATGGGTGGCTCTGTCATCAGTAAAGCGTCTGACTTCGGCTTAGGTCATGATCTCGCAGTCCACGAGTTTGAGCCCAGGCCCTGCGTCAGGCTCTGCTGACGGCTCAGAACCTGGAGCCTGCTTCAGATTCTGTCTCCCTCTCTCTCTGCCCCTCCCCTGCTCACCCTCTGTCTCTCTCTGTCTCTCTGTCTCTTTCTCTCTCTCTCTCAAAAACAAACGTTTAGGAAAAAAAATTTTTTTGTAATGTCTTCTCCATTTTCTAACAGAAATGGTAGCAAAGTACACACAGTTTTGTACTTTGCTTTTGTTTAGTTAAAAGTATATCTAGGGGCACTTGGGGAGGCTCAGTCAGTTGAGTGTCTGACTCTTGATTTCTGCTCAGGTCCAGGTCCCAGGGTCGGGGTCAAGCCCCAC